TCGCCGTTTGCTCGCTTCGTGCTCGTTCCTCGAGCACTTCGTTGGGAGTTCCACTCCCGCTCTTGACTTTTCAAGTCGGAGCTTTTGGTCCAAACGTGTTACGCTCGTTTGGCTCTCGCTTCGGCCACTACCATGTGGCACCCTTCCGGCTCCACTTTGGGGCCTAGGGATTTTGTGTCTCACATAGCGCTAATGTTCCTTGGCTCCATGCTTGGGAGTTTGGCACTATTCCTTCATTCAGCCTTGAACCTCGGGTTCCGCACCACTGTCCTTTAGACACGTCACAAGAGCTTTGACTAATCCAAAGCTCTCAGGCTCCAGCCAACAATTGAAAGGGCATATGACATGTGGCATGTGTCACGTGGCATAAAGAGGGTTAGGTTCTGCTTCATGGTGTTATCCTATGGTAAAATCACCATAGGATAAAGGGTAAAAGCCATGTGTGATACAGTCCTGGCAGAAAACCTAAGCTTAAGATTTGGCGGGAATATCCAAAGTTATTTGACAAGTTAAAAAGTTGGATCATTCTTTGTATTCACCCTGCTGTTCTGATGTAATGCACCCATGGCAATGCTTGGTAGCCACTCTTCTCAATGATCTTCAAATTGCAAACCTGGAACCAATTAAAACAAATTCAAACTCAAATGAAAATCCTTGGATCTTTTAGCTCAACACCTGAATCCATGAAGGAGCATACCAAACCAAGGCTTAATATTGGCCAACTATTAAGAAAAAACTTGACTAGTAAAATTTTTTTTAGTGGTTTCATGACGATGAGTTTGAATACAAATAAAAAATCCAACTAGTAGCAGCTTTAAAGAGGCTCTAGTGTTAATTAAATGTTGTTCTGCAACAAAAACCTCACTCACATGAAGCAGTATTTGTAGGGACAACCATCGAAAGTTGGAATAACTTAATCAAACCTGTAGTAACAAAGAATGAGCAAGAAAGAGTATAGATGTCATAAGTATGCACTTTAAGAAATGTTGTTATACTTCAGTGAAAGACTACTATACTGCCCCTTATTCTATCATTTACATGTGTCTGTGTGTCTGTCTATATATATATTGACAAGAACATCTTAAAAGTATTAGTATTTCACTAATCAACTTTAGGCACTATCCCAAACTACTTTAATTTGTGCACATTGACACTCTCCTCACCCACAAGGTTTGGCAAAGACAAACTCCTAGCTAACATGGTAACCAAACATGGTTTTAGAAATCCAAGGCTGAAATCTTATTCTTGATGGAATTCTCTACAATTTTCAGTATAGCTGATCCATGTCCATGATGTGCAAATGTAGCTTGTGCAGGCTTGTCTAGTGTAGGGTATGTGCTGCGTAACTCAAACTCGGCTGTGACTATATAAAGAATAATTTACTGCACTATGCAACATTATTTGGGTTTGTTTTGGTTTTTCTTATGTAAAAGTTTTTATCATAAATTACAAGATTACTATCTATCTGTATACTAAGTGATGTTTTAATTTAACATATTAAAATCTTCCCATAATAAAGATCTAAATTACAGTGAAATTTCATATGTAAAGTATATAATTAATTTGGTAATTGAAGAAAATTTCCTAAAGAGAAAAAAGAGTAATGTGGTCTACTTTTAATATAATTTTTATAAAATAAACATTCTTACAATGTATTAGAAATTAATTGATGTTTTAAAGAACAAGACATATGATATATACACTATATGTTACTAAATCATTTTTACATGATGTTTAGTTCCAATTAGAATATGTTTCTAGTGATGCAGTTGAGTGTGAAATCCTCAAACATATGTCTTTGTTTACCCATATGTTTAATAAACTCTTCAATAAATGATACAATTATGTTTTTGCCAAATCCTGCTGGGAGTAAAACATTAACTTAAATATGGATTGGATTCAATCTAATCCATTCATTCTTGAATCTAAATAAATAAAAGTTTTATGTGAAATGAAGCTAAACTTATTTAATAAAGGCTACCAAAAGAGTCCCAGGTCTTGAACAAGCCTTGAACTATCTTCTTATCAAAGATTTGATATAGGAACAGTAAAGTTATTACATTTTGCCTCTGTTGGAGTTAACAAAAACCCGATAAGTAAGAGTAAAAAAAATGGTCTTAAGAGTTGCAAATATGACATTGCTCATCAAAAACCTTCCCACACCCTAGTTAAATCCACATATCATGTATTTAAAATGTCAAGCTCAAAATCTGTTGCTACTCTTCAGCCTTAGTTTAAGCTTTCAAATTCCCACATTTCTGGAGGATTGCTACGAAATAGAAAGAAAGAAATGCGGTTGAGTTTCTTAGTTGATCCACTCAACCCAAATGCCCATTAGAGCTCCTTGCAACCTTGCAAGCATGCCCACTTGATTGTTAATTGATACAATGAAGCAGTATTCAGCTAAATTGACCTGGTCAACAAAGGAACAAGACTATTTGACCTACTTGTGGGGAGGCAGAGTTTATTTATGAAAGAATGCTATACTTAGTTGTACAAACCAATTACTGTCACAACTTTTTCCAAGTATGGTAATATACTTTGAAATAAATGAGTCTTGTTTCTCATACCAAAGAAGGTAAAAAAGAGGTGAGGGTGTTTTTTAAGACTCTTACCAGTGTTCTCTATGGTAGACAAAGTGTGTTTGACTGTTTATCATTTCGTTTGAATCAATGATAATTTCTCTTTGATAAATTATTGAGTTTAAATTGTGATAGAATATCTAACTTTACTTTTAAAAGTTTAGTATACATGTTAAAGTTTGTATATAATTCAATTTTATAGGGTGCACTTTGTCTTTTCAAGTAAAAACAAAGCTTTCATAGTCAAGTTATTTTTATTCCATTTTTATTGCAAAATAATATTTAATAGGAAATTATCCACAAAAATTGACTGCTTCATTATATTAACTCTTTATTAACATATTTAAATTAACTTTTAAAAAGCTTTCCCAAGATTTTCATTTAGTAGTGTAATTATCTTTTATAGATGCTAAGAACTTATAATTTTAAATAAATTAGATGTAAAGTTTATTAATTTTTAGTTTAGATCTCCATATAAAAGCTTGTCCATTTGTGTTAAATACAGCTATATAACTTGTATTTTCTACACAACATGAAAATGTTATCTTTCTAATATAAATTATTAGACCATATAACTATATATTTTCTATCATAAATTACAAGATTCCTATCTTTTTGTATATAAAGAAAACATTCAATACCTTTTCCTGATTTTTTAGTTTCCCATATTAAAATATTTCATAATAGAGAACATTACAGCTGAATTGTATATATATAATATACATTTGATTTGGTGATTGAAGAAAATCTTCTTTGCTAAGGCAAGTAAAATAAAAATAATTTGCTCCACTTTTTATACCAGTTTTATGATTAAACAATATTTTATTTCATCTAACAAATTTTAAGTAGTAAATTATTTTTTTAGAACATATTTAATATCATTATCTAGTGTATACTCTATATATATGTATCTACTTTTTATATACTTTATGGAAATAAATTTCAACAAAGATTTCAAACAATAATTCAATAATTGTTTTTAGTGATTTACCTTGTAAGGTTTGTAAATATATGTATGTTCTTGTCCATCCATTCTTGTAGATAAACAGAGGCGTAAACCCTAATTACTATACTTATTCCTATATTTCGAGCACTCATTGGTGGAGATGAGGGGCATTGCAATTTGTCTCTGAAGGGCAAAACTTTTTGGCAATGCTTTGCTCTAGTGTTCGGGATTATGTTTTTTTGTTCTTATTTCTTCATTCTTTTTTAGATCTAGATTTGTATTAGCTTTTTGCAAGATCTAAAATTTTAGCTATTGTTGTGCTTAGATTTGCTCCTTTTTTTTTTTTCTTTTTTATCTTCATTGCATTCTCTTCTTCTACCATGCCATATTGTCATCGATCAAGGAATATATCACTTAAGGCCGTTAATGCTACTCCATTAGATCGAACTTTTGATGTTGTAGAGTGTAATTATGTTGGTGTTGCACCCATTTTTAGTGTATTGCCATCTCTAGCTTCCGTGAGACGTGATGACATGGCTTGTCCAATTCTTGGTGTTCTACCATCTCTTGTTGATGTGGAATGTGATTATGATATTGATTGGCGAGCTATGGATAATACATTCTAATTCTTAGAGAATGTTCAATGATTAAGTTTATGGGAAGACAATGTGTATGAGCTTGAGTGGATTCCAGAGTGTGATAATGAACTTGATTATTATAAAGATATTTTTGAAGATGAAGTGAAGATTTTGCGGGGTAAGTATCAATATTTCAATTTCTCATTTGATCCTTTCTCTTTCGTTTCTACTCTTTCCCCACCTTTTCTTATTTCTCGGCTTGAGCCACTTTTTTATATTCTTAATATTTCTTCCTTATCTGTAGTGTTTTCTTCTCTTAGCACATCGATCATTTGTGATTCTTATGATTCTCTTTCTCAGTCTAGTGTTGAATTGAGTATTTTCTATCCTTCTCATACTAATCTTGATGTTAAGTGTGTCCATGAAGTTGAGAATTTTGTTTTTGTTTTATTTGCAGAGTTTTTGATCAATTTTATTGTTAAATAATCCCATATTCCAAAGGTTGAGTCACTTTGGCTAGAGTTTCGAATTAAATGTATGTCCCCACTTGTGAGTGCCACTGAAAGCATTTGCTTTACTATTGTTACTAAAGAATTTATATATTCCTTTGAGAGTGTAGATGTTGTTATTGATTTTCTTGTTTTAAATGTTGAGTGTGTTAAAGAGGTTGAGTGGTGTGAATCTTTTGTTTATATTGTGGTGGCCAAAGTATTTTATAATAGAAAATCCCCTATTTTCCAAATTTTAAGCATATATTCGTTTAATTTATCTATTTTTGCATTCTCAATTGCTTCTTTATCCACATTTTCTTATTTCATAATTGTTTTTCCTCAATTTTTCACATTTTCTCCTTGTTACCCTTACACTTCTAACTTTTTTTTCTGAACGATGGGATGTTATGTGATAACTATTATTTACGGACTTCACAACATCTCATTCCTGCTTGTTCTCATTTTCCTCTTTCTTTGCACCGTGCTCCTTTCGATCCTGGAGAGCCTCAATCACTTTCTCTAGAGCCCCTCTCGAGTTCCCCCTGTTCTGGATCAACACCTCCGCGATATCAGCAGGAGTGATCTCAACCTTGGCAATCAGCTCCTCGATCTCTCCAAACTCCTCCTCAAACTGCTCCTGTTGCGAGATTTCAAGGTGAGTCCACGCCAGCACCTTGAACGCCTCAAATCCACAGTAGCCCATGAAAATGTGGAGGTCCATCCTGCCGGACCTCAACAACGCAGGGTCTAGAATCTAGATCCTCCTTGTGGTTGGTCGTGAAGTTCTCACTCCCGCTACAAGACCACAGCCCATCGATGAAATTCAGTAGCCCCGAAAGTGTGACCCTGCTGCTCTCTTGCTCCTTTTTCTTGTTTTTCTTCTCGGACTCTCCATCTTTCTCCTCGGTTTCTTCCTCCGGTGCCGGCTTCCCCCTCTTCTTGAGCTCCAGCGAGCAGTCGATGTCCTCGATCACGATGATCGCCTTGTTGGAAATCCCCATGAGCAGCTTTCTCAAGTCTGCATTGCTCTGCACCTCCGTCAGCTCCATATCGTAGACATCATACTGCGTGTAGTTCGCAATGGCAGCGATGAGTGACGACTTCCCAGTCCCCGGAGGCCCGTACAAGAGATACCCACGCTTCCAAGCTCTGCCAACCCGCTCAAAGAAATCCTTTCCAGCTTTGAACGAGTCCAGGTCCTGGATGATCTTGTTCTTGAGCTCGGGATCCAGCGCCAGGCTCGAGAAAGTCGAGGCATGCTTGAAAGGCACCGATCTCCACGGCTTGTCCCTGTAGATCCACTCGCGTGAGTTTGCCATGTCGGTGTAGAGCTGCTTGGTTCTGTCGCTTCAAGCTCTCCCCGAGCTTGATAACTTCCCTCATGTACTCCGGCAAGAGTGTATACGTGTGCCTCCTGTGAACTTGGACAACGTACTCTCGGCGTGTTCCTCCACTTCGATCAAAATAGCGGAAGCCTCCACGGTTGGACGGCTCGCTGACATTGAAGACCCAGGAGAATGTCACCCCTTTGAACTTGTCCTCCACTCGCTCGCCCCTGGCGAGGTTGCAATTCGGCTTGCTGGCGTTCTTCACTCGTGTGAACTGGATCCTGTTTGCCGAGCTCTTGGTGTTGGTTTTGGTGAGATGTGCAACGTAGAGGTCGACCAGGTCGTAGATCTCGTTGCTGTTGTTGCGGACGTATTCGGGAATTGAGAACGCTGTCTCCCACCAGAGCCAGGATACCAGCCTCCTGAGCTTGAGCAACCGAGAAGGAACTTATCTGCTTGAGAATCATGATAAAGCCCATGAGGGAACCGAGATGGGCGAAGTAGCCGCCTGCCATCTTGCTCTGTTTCTGCTGCTGCGAGAATGAGAAAACTACCCAATGATTTATTTCATACCCACTGACCACCAAGAGCTGCAAGTGCTGTGAGGCTGTAGCACCCGCTTCGGCCAGGCCAGCATCTTCTTCCTGACAAAACCACCCAACAGCAGCCAAGGAGCAAGGAGGACAAATGCTAGCGGCGGAGCACATATTGGAAAACGTCAAGAGCCCTCCATCACCCAAGGCATGGGCTACCAAATCTTGCCTTCTCCATGCTCTACGAGGGGGGGGGAGAGAGAGAGAGAGCTGCCTTGTTGTAGTGAATCTTTCAAAAGATCCTTCCCAATACTCCTGGTAAAATATTCTTTTAATATTCTTAGTTCTGGTGAATCTTTCAAAAGATCCTTCCGAAAAGAATATAATATTCCTAGTAAAATATTCCCTTAATATTCCTAGTAATAAAAAGACCTTTGAATGAAGAGTACCATTGGGCTAATGGATGTGGGATGGGCTCAGCCAGAGCAAATGACTCCGGCGGTGGGATGGGATCCGCGCGTCGGTCTGATCGTGTCCGATTGGTTCCAGAGCAGCATAGGTACCCGATTGCTGAGAGTGGTGGCAGGGGCATTCGAGCGCTTTGGGCTGGAGCTGGATTCTTCAGCAGGGGCGTCGTGGTTCTACGATGTAGATGGGTCGAGTGTGTCGGAGCTCAAGTGGAAGATTTGGACTATGGCAATCGCCCACGTCCTCCGGGTTCCCATCCCGGAGAATTTCCTGCACCTCTTCATCGCTGTGGACTATTTCATGCGCCAGCGAGGTCGCTCCAACCAGCAACGTTATGGTGACCGGAAACTGCTGTCCTTCGTGCTCCCTTGCCACTACGCTGTACTCAAGCTTGAAGAGGTGAGTTCTCGAGATTTCTGGTGGCAAAGCGGTAAAAGAGCTTTTTTCTATGGTCGCAGCTCAAGGCGAGAGACATTCAGACGCCAGCCACTGAAGCGATGTCTTCAGAGGAAGGAATTACACGTATGGCTTCTCCTTTTTCCTTTTCACTTTCTAACCAGTCACCTGTGCAGATCTTGTGTCGCTCATGTCTAGAGTTCCCTGTACTTTCTCGACGCGAACATGTCTTCTGGATGCCATGCGCCTGTTTGATGTGAGCGAGCAACTCTGTGTGCTCTTCTTCGCGTGGTTGCAGCTCCAGGTCCAGGTAAACAAGCAGCCGCTCGAATGGCTCGACGCTTTCCTAGCTCAAGCCAAAGCTGGCGGCGGGGGGCACCTGGGCAACGTCTTGCTCTTCTTCCTAGACACCGTGCACGCATACAGGTTTAAGGGTTTCTATCTGCTACCCAGGGAGAACATCGACAGGGTCTTTAATGTTTGCATCAAGGAACTCCCGATGGTAGAGTGGCAGTCGATCGACCTCACCCCCGGCGTCCGTCAGGTGTTAGAGGTGAAATCCTTAGCTCGACTTGCAAAACACAGATGAGACTCTTAAGGCTTCTTATTCTTTCTTTTTTTAATTATTATTTTATTTTGGCAGGAGGTGGACGCAGAAGTGACACACAAATTCGAGTGGGACAAAAGCCTTCTTTTACCTCTGGAGCGTTGGGTGCATAGGAGGTCGCTCGTTTACCAGCACAGGCCTCGCGAGATTCCATACGTTATGGACTTTACGGATGCAAGCTTGCAAATTGGCCGTCTGATCTACACTTGGACACTGACGAAGAAGGGGCAGCGGGACCATGCCGAGCTCCAGACGCTGTGCTCGACGGGCAAGTCGATCGTGGAGCACGCACAGTCGGTGCCAGTGGGAAGCAGCGACGAGCGCCAGCTCTACCGTGCCGCCGCTGCCGTTTTCGGCAAGGATCTTAGCGGCCATTTCGTGCAGCTATGCAGGAACGCGCAGTGGGAGCCGGATGGGGTCCCTTGCTCGCAATCCGAGCTGGGAGAAATAAGGGAGCTGGCATGGAGAGGGCTGATTTTAATCTTCAAATTCCAGTCCAGAGTTCCAGAGCATTACTTTGACGGCGGCCCTAAACAACTGAGAAACAAAGTGCCGTTCGGTGCCATGATCGTCTACATTGTTCACGTACGCACACAGTGTTTTTTCCGTTGGAATGTGTTTCTCAAAAAAAAATTCTGTTTTCTTTGTGTTGTTTTGCGCAGGTAATATTTGAGGATCACTTGGCTCTAGACATTGACTGCAAAACGTGGACAGAAGAGTGTGAGTGAATTATCGTTGCTTGGTGGAAGTATTTACTAAAGCTGTTTTTTGTAGGCCACATGGCTCTAAATAGTCACCCAAATCGTGCTACAGTTCGGAACAAGAGTGGGATTTTTGTTGCATCAGATGGGACTAGGAAGAGATGTCTAGCTCTTGAGAAGTTGATAGAGTCTCCCAAAATACAGAGGGCCCTGGGAGCCAGCGCTGATGAAATACGCGATGCTATGGTCAAGGCGTTTGCAGCAGGTGGTATATATTATGATCAGGAACACAGAAATTTATGGTTTAAAATGGGCAAAATATTCAGAGGGGATTATGCGAGGCTCTCTGCATATATTATAGCATATGTAATTTTCAAAGGATTAATTTAAACAATGTACTTATCTGTCATTGGTCTCATTCTATGAATGGATAAAATTATGTTTCGAACCTTTTTGTGAAAAGCATAAGATTGAGCCTACATTTAAAAGCCTCTAAACAATGCCGACGCATTCATTCGGCCATTGACGAGGAGTCGCCATCTCCAGTCGAAATCTGACCCAAACCTCGCGATCTAGGCTTGAAAGAAGGTGCCACGGAGGCAGATCAAGAAGGGTTCAATTGCATGGCTTTGGTGAATGTCAGGCTGATGCACTGCGGAGCTGGTGGGGAACTGCCTGGCCTGCCTTCGAGTCGTCTCGCGGGCGGTGAAGGTGGTGAGCCCTCTTGTGCGCCCCAGTGCCTCCTTTGCGAAGGAGAAGCATTTTGAGCTTAGATCTAATGTCTCTCTCTACCACTTGTTTAATCTCCAATGTTTTTCTGCCACATTGCAACAAATCTCTGGCGCACTTCTGTGGGCACTGGTTCGCAGTAGCAAGCGTCTAAAAATTACAGAATATTCTTTAGCAATCGTTTGTGATGGAGAGCTCCCCTAGACTCTTTTATGCATGCCTTTTGTTCTAGGTGATATAGCATGGATTTGTCGTGCAATATACACTAGACAGCTTTTCTGTTTGAGTTGCAATGAATGAGTGCGTGCCACGTGATGGAGCTCTGAATACTATGGTATCATTTAGGCACGGATCAAGCCTACAGTGATTCAGGATTTACCCCAATTTCAAGAAGCTGGACACATTTCACGCAGTGTTTATGCTGATATGTCTGTTAGAAATTTCATAAGGCACCATCAATAAAGGGATTCTCAAGTTGGAGACAATCTTAGCCATTCTTCAACATTGCTGCTGTTACACATTACATATTCTTTCTCTTTCTGACAAAAAACTTAAATAACTTTAAAAACCATAAGTTATAGTACAACCTGGAAAATATAGATGTCATCATTTTTTATCTATCTTATATTTTGTTTTGGCAGTCTTGTGGTGCCCAACAAGAAGCATGAGACTGCAAACAAAGAATTACCTGGAAAATACAGAGGTCAAGCATTTTCAATGCCAGATAAGGCATGCAATTCCTAAAAGGATAGAAAAGATATAGACAGATTTCACACTCATATGATGTTTTTCTATTGAATGAGCATTGAAGCTTCATCCCATGGTAATAGATAGCTCATGCATTGTTCTTGATGCCAGTACAATAGGTGGATGATCCCTAGTCTATCAAGTTAGATGCCCTGTCATTCAGTATGTTGGCATTAGATGTGGAAGGTAACATAATTTTCTCATGATTGGTTTGAATCATTTTTGCTAGTAGTGTAAGAAGTGGCATTAAATCACTTTTAATTTGCTCTCTATACACATCAAAGTTCCTACCATATACAAATTTATTTCAAATTTGTATCATTAAAACCTATCCTTCCAGTTTACTAGAAGAGGTGGAGGAAGAGGAGGAGGATGGCCTTTCATCCAGACTCAAATTGTAGTTCAAGTGTCAATAGTGATAATGTTGTTGTCCTATAGATTCTGTTATTTTCCAACCTTTTAAATTCAATTCATTTACACATTTTCAGGCCTTTTGTCATTTTTGCAATTGAGGGGATTCAGTAGTTTAGCTGCATTTGGCACCTCGATCCACTTAAATTTGAGACTAAGACCATTGTGTACCTCATATGCTATCTTAAAATTTCAATGCCATCGTTGTATAAATATATGTGGCAAATTAGAAAGGTGTATATTATAAGGTGCTACCCAAAGAACTTCATCACATTCACACTAACAATGTTAAGGAGATTATCAAATTTTGATATAGTTGTCAACCTAAAAGATACTAATTTAGCTAATACCAAATTTGTGAGCCTCATTCACTCACAACATAACCAAATTGCAATAGAGGCACTTCAATTTTTTGCCTTAGCATATTGTCAACTTATAAACTATGGTTTCTATGTATATGCCATTATTTTTGGTGCAACTCATTATATTATAGCTTGCAAGTTGACTACCTCCTAAAATTTCATATAATATTCAAAATATACACATGGGGTATTTGTTTATTTGAGGCCCAAACACATCTTGAGCAACATGTGAGATACAAATCCTAGAGCCCCAAAAGTAGAGTCAAAAGGATGCCATGTGATAGTGGCCAAAGCAGAAACTAAATGAGAGTAACACATTTAGACTAAAAGTTCTAACTTGAAAAGTCGAGAGCAAGAGTAGAACTTTTAACGAAGTGCTCAAGGAATGAGCATGAAACAAGCAATAAATGAGTTTCTAAAAAAAGGACACAAGAGGACCAACATATGACATGTGGAAGTGTTGAGATGGACTTGAGATGAAGTCCGAAATGGAGTTTGAGATGGACCTAAGATGGAGTCCGAGATGGAGTCCGAGATGGAATCCGAGATGGACCCGAGATGGAGTCTGAGATGGAGTTTGAGATGGAGTCCGAAGATGGACCCGAGATGGAATCCGAGATAGACCTGAGATGGAGTCCGAGATGGACCCAAGATGGAGTCTGAGATGGAATCGAAACCAAGACCGAGACCGAGTTCAAGTCCGAGTCTGAATCCGAATCCGAGTTCAAGTTTTGATTTCAAGTTCAAGTTCGAGTATGAGTCTGAATACTAATATAGGTTGCTGAATGAAAACCCAAAGCAATCATCCCCCAGGGGGGAGAGGGGGGCTGGGGGGAAGGGGGAAAAGGGGTTCCAAAAGTATAGTTTGGCCAGGAAAGGCCAATGAGGATTCTTTATGTAGTGACCAAAGATACAATAATATGTGGAAAAAGTCCTAGAGGATAATGGGATTTAGCAATTCCCCTAAGCCAACCAATAGAGTTGGACTTGAGACCTTCTAATATCAAATGTAAGTTCCTAAGTTTAGACTTCCCAAAAGGTTACCTAACCCAGTATTATTTAAACCCAAAGACTCTTAACCCCAAGTATCCCAAGACTCTTACCCGATTGGAAAAGAAGGTGCATTTTTGTTCATGAGCCCTTTCCCTTTATATTTAAACCCTTATGGATCATCTCTTTAGTCATTCCCTTTGATTGTTTACATGGTCGAGTCTATAGGCCTTGATCCAATGGCACTGTTGGTGAACTTGGCCATAGACAAAAGAGGATTTGGTAGAGACCAAAAAAGGGATATTAGAGAAGGTTATTCCCCATATCTGCAGACATCTTAAGAATGCTAAATAGTGGATCTAGAATGATCATTCAAGGATGGATGGCTTAATTTTTGAAAGACAGGACCATGATGTAGGTAGTGTTGGACCACCAAAGTGACAAAGATGAATGGGCATAACTTTAGTGTAATGGGCTGATATGTTGGTGGAATCTTTAGGTGTCAATTATGGGATTGGACATGTGAAACACTTGGACCAAATCCAATGGCTAAGTGGCATGGATGCCATTTTCGAGGCTAGTAAGTCCCCAAGTTCGGAATATAATTTATGGAGGTTATGAATGAAACTTCTTTAAGTGGTTGGAGACATGGTTAAGTGACTAAAGTAGAATAGAAAAACTAATCGCTTGCACAACAATACTCTATAGCATAATGATATCAAAAGGGATACAGTTTGCTATTGAAATCCTACAGCTAGGAGCTTTATATATGGGATATCAACATATAACTTAGCACTCACTGTGTTAAAATTTTATCCAAATAAGGATTGAATCCATTTTGTTTTACATTTGTGGAGAAAGCTTTTAATTCCCTTCTCGAGATAAAAAAGTTATAAATCACTACTTCCATTTAGAGTTATTATATTTATCCTCACTTCACCATATATGTTCAACATTCCACTATTGTATCCATTTACCCTCACTCCATTGAGGTTATATATTTTATTTGGACTTATTATATTCATCCTCATTACATAATCTATGTTTCGTCTTCACTCCAATACCATTGTTATCTATCCTCACTCCATTATCATGATTAAACTACCATCTATCCCCTCTACTACCTCTTCTGAAAAAAAAAAACAGTTTTAAGTATTGGAAAAAGAGGAGAAATTGACAAAATTTAGAAATAAATATTGTAGAAAAAAAGAATAAAAGAGCATTAAATTTTTTTTAACAGTTATTAAAAAGGAAAAAAGATAAAAAAGAAAGAAATTTACTTAAAACTTGAATGATTGAGAACCTTTTGTAATAAGAGACTCTTTCTAAATAGAAATGTTATTAAAAATACTATATATAATATAGCAAGTATACTAATATATATATATATATATATATATATATATATATATATATATATATATATATACATACATACATACATACATCATACACTTAGACCTTAGACATTTTACAGATCTTATAAATTTAGAGTTATAATTTTAAAAATAAGTAACTAAATTTTTTGTGAGGTCTAAGTGTACAACTATGATATTATATATTAATATTAGTGTAGTGGGATCTTAATAAAGACTGAAACTAACTATAAATGATCATCATAATCAGTCCCCACAAAATAAAAAAAAATTTCCTCAAGATGAATATTAAAAATGTAAATACCAAAATGGCAAGTTATTAGCAACTAATGTAAAAAATTTCAAACCCATCACAAAGCTTTTAAATTCACAACTCAAGCTTTTGAGTTTTATAAGCTTTGTTAAGAGAAGGTAAATTTTGTGTTGCACCTTGTAAACACTGAATATCAAGTATAGTATTCAATAATATAAAATCCTTATTTAGAAAATCTATAGATAGTAGAATAACAAGTTCGTTCATGATCTGATATTTTCAACAAAATTAAATTTACCCTTGTTTGGGTGGCCTTGACTAAAAGTTGCAAGGATCTCCTAGGCATCCCCACATTTCCATACACTTTAGATAAGAAGATTTAAATCCACCAATAAAGTATAAGCTCAATCTCACATTCGAGAAGTGCTACAAAAATGGAGCTAAGTTACCCACTCGATCCTATGCCAGCTCCTTGCAACCCGACAAGCACAAGATTCTGGTTGTTGTTGAGGGCATTCTATGGTTGTTGTTGAGGGAAATGATAGAGCCCTTGCCCTACTTATCATGTTGTTTCGAGCTGCACCAGGGCCATCGATCCAAGCTCAACCATTCAAGCATGCATATCACGTTTGAATTGACTTCATCAACTGAACGGTCAAAGGAGTCCTTGGTAATGTAATGTGGCTGTAGTTAGTGGTGAGATTCCATGTTGTGGCTGTGGAGACCTGGTTTGAATCCCAGTAGCCACAATTGCATTCTTTTTTGGTAAGCTTGTTGAAGTTTTAGTTTGACTTTATTTGCATGCTTTGGTCAAATTAATACATTTCGAGAAACACTGGATGCAACGGAGGCATGGCTGTTCTGCTACATTCATTGAACTCATCCAGAAGCACTGAAGAAGTACCTTTCTCCAAGTAGAGTGGGATGTGATCAAAACCAACATCTTGTTTGTTGGAGAAAAACCTCCCTGTTGTAGATTCGGAGGTTGAAGCAATGCCAGCCAAATAG